GTGAAGACGGGGGGGATGAAGTCAGGGGTGGTGAAGTGGCTGAAGCAGAGATAGGGGGGGCAGTGGTAGGTGAGACCCGAAGAGGGGACTCTGCAGGTGGTAATGCAGGCATGGTCATGGATGCCATGGAGGAACGCACCGAGACCAAGGGCGACAAAGCAGCTGCGATGGTCACGGATGCCATGGAGGAACACACCGAGACCAAGGGCGACACAACAGTTGCGGTGGCACCGGATGCCATGGAGGAACACACCGAGACCAAGGGCGACACAGCAGTTGCGGGTCGAGTTGCTCCCGCAGAATCAATCGTAGAAGCAACCAAGGCCGATGAGGAAGAGGCTGCAAACCGAAAAGGGGCAGCCAGGGTCACAAACGGCATGGAAGGGGTTACTAAAACTGATGAGGACGCAGGTACGGTAGACGCAGGTAATGAAGAAGAGGCTGTGATAGGTGTGACAGGCGCCGATAATGAAGAAGTGGTTGTGACAGGCGTAGTCCGAGGACAGTGTGTGGATACCCGAGAAAGCGGGTGATGAAAAGACCATCGAAGCATGCTGCGGAACCAGTTGGAGAGGCGGGTCACGTGCGCAAGGTACCTGTGTTGACGTTTACGAATATAGGAAGTCCATCCTTTCGCAAGCGTTGTTGGAGAGTGCCCGCGAAAAAGCATGCGGCGTGTGAGCATTGCTGCTGCAGTTTTGAAATCATACCAGTTGTTGCAGACATACTCAAACCTAGTAAGCTGGCCTGTAAACACTCCCACTGGCTGGTGTGCAGGGACGTTAGACGTAGCACTAGGATAACGAATAACAGGGAAATTCCATTCAGCTGCTTTGTCAAAGACACTCATACGCAGGGAACCGCCAGGGCGGACTTGGAGGCGTGCACCTAAGAATGTGCAAGAGCCATCAAGCGCTGTGGTCTCCTTCCATTCGAGGCCATAGTGTTCTGGCGGTGGTGGCAGATGTCCCCATAAGAGAACATCATCGATCAAGCGGTATGTGAACGCATACCGTTGAGCTGCTCGAAGATCACACTGCTGGAGGTCATCAACAAATCGAGCCTCATCCCAATACAACGTCAAATTAGCTATCTCCGGACCAGAATTAGTCCCCATCGGGATGCCAATCAGTTGATGTCGCAAGGTGCCGTCCGCTGCATAAAGATACGTGTTTGTCACAATGAAATGGAGATGTTCAAGAATTTGGGAAACGGTCAAGGTGTTATGTATAACCGTAGGCAGAGAGGGAGAAGAGGACAACAAACGAGGGGCTGTCACAAACTGTTTCGTATATATATCGTCACAAACAGAACTGCCCGGTAAACCGTAGGCAGAGAAAGAGAAGAGGACAACAAACGAGGGGCTGTCACAAACTGTTTCGTCGGAGTTTCACCGACTCATCAGGAGGTATATATATATATATATTTGTTGTCCTCTTCTCCCTCTCTGCCTACGGTTTACCGGGCAGTTCTATTTGACGATATATATATATATATATCGTCAAATAGAA